GACAACACAAGACCACACACGTTCGCCCACCGTCGTCCCCCCTCCTCACCCCCCCGCCACCGCCCACCGCCAGCAGGATGGGGCGCCGCAGAATCCAGCGCTGCACCACGCCAGAGCTCAAGGACGTCCTCCTGGAGTCGTCAGGAGGAAGGTGGTTCCGGCCGGTCAACGGATACGATGTAGTCTTCCCGGGAATCCTTCTCGGAGATGCGTGAGTGATTTTTTTTTCTTATTTTTTATTTAATTATTTTATTATTATTATTTCCTTCTTGGAGATGCGTGAGTGATCTTTTTTATTTTTTATTTGTTATTTTATTTTATTTATTTATTTATTTTTATTCAATTTATTTATTTATTTATTTATAATTTATTTATTTATTTTCATTTTTTGAGGTGGAGGGTTGCTGGGATTGGGTGGGGGGAGGAGGAGGAGGGAGGGGAGGAGAGGGGTGACTAAGGGAGGGGTTGTTTTATCTGTGTGTTTGCGTGTGTGTTGTGTGCGTTTGTGTGTGTGTGTGTGTGTTCGTTGTCTGTTTAGATGGTTTGGATGTTCATTTTATTATTTATTTATTTATTTTGGGGGTATGGGTGGAGGGGGGAGTGGGAGGGGGAAGAGGGGAAGGGTTGTTTTGTCTTTTTGTGTGTGTTCGTTGTCTGTTTGGATGGTATTGGATGTTTGAATAGTTTGTTCAGTCTGTTTGTCTGTCTGTCTTTGTCTCTCTCTCTATCTATCTATGTGTCTATCTGTCTTTCTTTTTCTCTCCCTCTTCTCTCTCTCTCTTCCTTTCTTTTTCTCTCTCTCTGTTTTCTCTCTCTATCTACCTATCTCTCTCCTGTCTCTCTCTCTCTCTCTCTGTCTTTCTCTTTATCTTCCTTTCCCCTTTGCATTGCTATCATACCGATGAAATAAAAAAGTGCAAACCCCTCTTTTCCGATCAAAGCCAAACCGAACAAACGACCACTTAACGAACTCCCCTTCTTTTCTCCCCCCCCCCCCCCCCCCCCCCCCGCCCCCCCCCCGACACTCCACCTCCTTGAAGGACATCGGCGTCACCCACGTCCTCAACGCCGCCCAGGGACACAACAACGAGGTCTACCGCGGCTACGTCAGCACCACCGCCAACTACTACAAGAAGAAGGGCATCTTCTACCTGGGCATCCCCGCCATGGACATGCCCGGATTCTACCTCAAGCCGTACTTCCGGGAGGCGGCGGACTTCATCCAGCACGCGCTGCAGCAGGGAGGTGAGGCCGGCGCGGGCGGGGAGCGGGGGCGCGCGCGCGCAAACGCAACGCACTCTCTCCCACAGACGCACATACAAGCATACACATACGTATACACACAATACACACACACACACACACACACACACACACACACACACACACACACACACACACACACACACACACACATATATATATATATATATATATATATATATATATATATATATATATATAATATATATATATATATATATATATATATATATATATACTCGCATATATGATGCTTATATATTGTCACATATCCACAGCATTTCTTCACTTAGCTATTGAAAGCAAACATTCATGCGAACACACTTTGGCTTCCAATTAATCCGACGCCGCGTGTCCGATTCGCCCGCAGGAAAGGTCCTCGTGCACTGCCAGTGTGGGATCTCTCGCTCAGCCTCCCTCGTCGCCGGCTTCCTGATGCTCCGGCGCGGGATGAACGTTCAGACGGCCCTCGCCACCATCAGGTCTGTGTTCAACGGCCGCCTTGTCGTGGCGTTTTCCCTCTTCGATGTAATGTTTAGGACACGGACTTCATTTCACTTATTGTCATGTGCTGTTTTGTTTGCTTTGAGGTCTTGAGCCTTATTTTCATGTTTGTGTTATGGTCCGTGATGAGTTTTGTTTTGTTGAGTTTTATTGATGTTGAGCTTTATATATTTTGTTTTGTTAATGGGGGAATCATGCTCGTGAATTGTAGTTCCTTGTTCATATTTGCTCCTCTGTGTCCGTTCGTGTCCATGCTTTCACGTTGTCCCGTGGTCGCCTTGCAGCAAGAAGAGGAGCATCTTCCCCAACCAGGGCTTCCTGAGTCAGCTGTGCGACCTGGACTACGAGCTGCGTCGGAGCGGAGAGATCCCCGACTCCGACCTGCCCGACCGCCGCGGGTCGCTGCCCTACCGCGAGACGTCGCCCTTCCGCAACCCGTCGGCGTACCCGCGGTTTACGCTCGTGCCTTACAGGACCTTCGAGACGTATTCCGACACCAAGACGTACGTGCCGCCGCGCAGGTCCTCCTCCGTCGACCGCTACGAGGCGCCCGCCAAGCCCTTCGCCCACAACCCGCTCGTGGATTCCAAGACCTACGGCCGCACGAGGTCCTCCACGAGCCCCGTCCGCTACACGCGAAGCCCCTCCGTGTCCTACACGAAGTCCTTCATCGACGACGACGAGGAGGAGCCCATCAACACGAAGGTGTTTGACACGTACAAGCGATACGTCA